CCAATATTTCAATCTCTCACCAATGTGGGATATCTCAAACTCAACCTCATGAGTTGACACAATTAATTTCAACCTTCTTTATTATACACACCTCTTTATTCCAATCTTTCAATCCCTCACTAATGTGGGATATCTCAAACTCAACAATAATTTACCAACACCTCAATACTCAATTCTCTTAATGTCACCTCATACTCTTAGTTCTTCCTATTATATATATATATATATATATATATATATATTATCTAAGATTTTTCAAATTTAAAATTGATTATAAGGATTTACTAATAGTTATTTTACACTAAAGTTCGATATAGATGACATAAACTTAAAAAGTTATTTCTTTTTTATCTGATGAATTGAACTCGTATAGGCATTTAGATTGCTGCTATTTGAATAGCTATCTAGCTGTATTTTCTGTTACTCCACCTATTTCATAAAGGATTTGACCAACAATTATCCAATATCCGGGAGAGCCTTTACCTAAACCCATATGTGTTTCTACGGGTCTTACTGTAAGAAGATTTTTTTGAAAAACGAATCTTCATAGGAAAAAATTAAAATTGTACTTATCTCTTATTATTATCCCAATAATGACTCAAAAAACGAATACTTATACTCCTTAACTATAAGGAAGTTAACGTCACGCTATGGAGAAGTAGATAGAAAATTAGCCATGATATATTTGGGGAAATGTTTTTAAAAAAAAACAAGGACTTCAGTGTTTGGAATGATTAAGTTATTGGACAATTTTTCGAAACAAATAAGTCCTTGGATATTCCAAAATCTGTTAAATAACTCGTTGGACTTTATAAAACTTATTAAATGTATTCTTATGACCAATACAACAGGTTAATGTGGTAAAATAATGGAAAAATTCTGAAAAAACCAATGAACTTTTATATTTTGAACAATTAAGTCCCTAAACATTTTTTGAACCAAAAAAGTACTTACATCTATAAAAATGAAACAAATATATCAAAAAGGTACTTACATTCAAAAAAAAATATTGATGAAATTTATTATAACAAAAATAAAAATATAATCTATTAGTTATTTTTGAAATTAAAAAAAATAAAAAAGGGAAAAAAGGATTACTGATTAAATTTATTTTAATAAAAAATAAATGTATTTCGTATGTGATTTTTCAAATTAAAAAAAAATAAAAAAGATTACTGATGAAATTTATTTTAATTAACAATAAAATATATTCCGTTGGTGATTTTTTAAATTAAAAAAATAGAAAATAATTTAGTTAAATTACTGATAGATTAATGATAAAGTTTAACTAAATACATAATTGATTAAAATTCATTGCTAATTCGTCAATGCAATGATATTACCGACAAGATTCAAGCACGATCTTCTACACTTATTAACATATTACTGTGTTAGAACGTCCGACGATGGTCAAGTTAGCTATCAATTAAATACAAATAATTCATGCATATACCAATGAACACTAGCGACGAATTTTAATTAATTATATATTTAGTAAAGTTTTATCGTTACTCCTTCTATTTTTTAATTTGAAAAATCACCAACAAAATATATTTTATTTTTAATTAAAATAAATTTTATAATAATCTTTTTTACATATTTTTTTATTTTTGTAATTTGAGAAATCATATACAAAATATATTTTATTTTTAATTAAAATAAATTTAATCGTTAATTCTTTTTTAAAAAAATTATTATTTTTTTAATTTGAAAAATTACTAACAGAATATTTTTTATTTTAATTAAAATAAATTTCATCAATATTAATTTTTTAAATGTTAGTATTTTTTCGTAAATATAAGTATTTTTTTATACATTTGTTTTATTTTATAGATGTAAGTACTTTTTTTGTTCAAAAAATGTTTAGGAACTTAATCGTTCAAAATATGAAAGTCCATTGTTTTTTATTCAGATTTTTTTATTATTTTATCACATTAACCAGTTTTATAGATTATAAGAATGTATTTAACAAGTTTTAGAAAGTACAATAAGTTATTTAACAGGTTTTGAAATGTTTAAGAAATTATTTGTTCCAAAAAATTGTTAAATGACCTAATTATTCAAAAAACTAAAGTCCATTAGTTTTAATTATATTTTTGGGATCAACCAACGACCAGCTATGGACGAACAATAATGAATCCAACATGAAATCAGAGCTTTAATTTGTAATTCTAGAGATATAAACATATGAATTCTGGAGAGACAAGTTCAGATATGGTATTCAACAGTCAGTTAATTTTATCTGTAGCAACCGTCTTCGTTGATGTATGGCAGTCGGTAGCATGTATTTCCGGCAGAATCACCAGCGAAGCATTGTTACATCTGGTGATTGTTTTCCTCTTCAACAGTTGGGTTGTTTGTTTTCGGCTTTGTATTTGGACCTATTTCTACCAAGGTCAGAGATGGTATCTAATACTTTGTTAATTTCATTAGTCAAGAGTTTTGGAGGCCGTCGTGATTCATACTCTGATTCGCATTCCGACTGAAATTTTCCTTATCTTTGTTTCATCATGTACGCTGGCCTTAGTTCTTGTACATCTAGTTTTTGTGGTGTTTTTTGTATCCTCGAGTGAATGGATGTAAGGATTGGTTGATTTCGAGGGATGTTTCAGTTGTTTGGTGAATCTCGAGAGACTTTTTCAATTTTTTGGTTGATTTCGATGTACTCGATGTACTTTTAATTGAGTTTTTGGTTGATATTCCTTGTATTTTATAATACACCAGAGCATCCCTAAAAGTTTATCGGAGTTGAATTCCTTGGTCTGTTTTAGGTTTCAGTAAAAGTACAGTTTGTTAGAAAGTTGCACGAATAACCTTTGCAACTAAAGTCGAGGGGCAAATCACAGAATGGATACCGAGAGTTGGGCAACTTAGGCCATTGAAACTAAGTTGGGGCATAGATTAGGACCATCATTAAGGACATTAAAGAGGTTTGTATATGGTAATCAACGTGGGTTTAACACCTATTTAATACGATCAATTTTGGTGTTCAGTTGTGAAATTTCTAGTCGGGCTTGGAGATTAGGTGACCTAAATCTCTAAATGTGTGCTTGTTTGTGAACATTTTAAAATAAGAATTCGATTGAAAAAGTGGCTAAAAAATGAATTTGGCTGGGAGGATCGGCTATTTCGGACAATTTTAAAAAAAATGATCCATCTCACTTAAAGGTGACCTAATAAATTTATCATATAAAGACTAATAATGTATCCACGCACAATGCGGCATGGAATAATTAGGGGTTATTGTTCTTTGGTTATATATAAAGGCTTAAATTGAAAAGATTGTTATAACTTATAAACAACATTACCTCATTTACTTGATTCAAGAATAAAGCAATTTTTTTCGCCAGCATAACACTATATATTAGGGGTGTACAAGTGTGAAAATGGGAAACGAGGTTAAACAATATATATATATATATATATATATATATATATATACTTGGGATCATATGAGACCAAAGTTTTTTCGTGAGACCCGTAAGACCAATTTTTAACCCTTGGATTAGATCTACAATCTCAATATTCATAATCATAAAATTGCCACAAGATTTCTCAATAATTACAAAATTGCCACCGTGCAATTTTAGACCATTAGATCGTTAGCTTATAAAGTTGATCAATGAATATAAATTGGTCTCACGGGTCTCACGAAAAACCCTTGGTTTCACGTGAACCCAACCCTATATATATATATATATATATATATATATATATATATATATATATATATATATAAGGGGTGCTCATAGATAAGGTTAATCGAGTTGAAAGCATTTGAACAACTCAACTCAATGTTTGCGGTTTGAAAAATCTCAATTCAAACCAAAGTGCAACCCAACCCAAACCATATGAGTTGGTCGAGTTGATACTTTGGTACATCAAAAGATTCTCCTAACCTTGAATATGTTGTTTTCTCTAGTTTACTCATAACTTCTTTTTCATCATCAACCATTTGATACAACTTATCCATACTTATTAATTTTAAATATATCACATTGAATTAATTTTCTCAATTTAAATATATACACTAGCAGTAGCAGTGTGCCTGTGCAATCGGGTGAACAATGTGTGAAATTTTTATCATAAATGGAAAATGAAAAGCTCTTGAGTGCATAGCTCAGTTGGAAAAGGGGTGAGCGATTTTGCTCAAATCCAACGAAAGACGGGCTTAAATCCCTCCGCAAGCCTCTAATGAATTATTATAAGGCTTGAGTTGGGTGACAACCAGCAGCTACATCCTTCATTTGTATCCTACCAAAGAATAACCTGCCAAGATTAGAATGCATTCTTGATGCACCAAAACCAGAACATCAAACCCAAATTCTAAAAATTATTACACAATTTGCAATCTCTAACAAGCATCCCCAAAGGAGAAGAGGAAAAAAAATAACATAACCCTGTTACTGAAACAAGAAACCCATCTGAATTCAAGCATTAATCAGGGGCCGTTTACCTAAATGCTTACCTTGTAAAACGTTAGGAGTCAACACTATAATTTTATTTTATTGGGTAAGATTGTAGTACATCAAAACGTATCATATACAACAATTTACCTGGTAAGCGTTTACCCAAGTAAGAGTCGTCACCCTCACTTACCGGGTAAGACTATCCATCCTTATCATCGCTCTTACCGGATAAGCTTCTTGGCCCTTGCCATGTTCATCCGGTAAGAAAAATTACCCGGTAAGTACTTACCGGGTAAGCGTTTAATAAACGGCCCCTCAGTCTCACAACCATGTTTAGAAGTGAAAATGCAGATATGTAACAATAGCAATTACCTTTACTTCAAAAACAACCAAATGAGCAAAATATGTAACAGATACAATCAGGCTCAATTAAAAAAATATTGGATCCTTCGATGATGACCAATCTAACAATAACAATTCCGGGCGGGTTATGGATTATTGGAGAAATCAATCAATTGAGATTCAAAATAACGTTAAAGAAACGGTGACTTGCTAACAAAACCAACAATGATTAATGAAATATCATAACATCGTATTTGATGAACTATAAAACTACAAGCTACAACTCCATTTTGTGATAATATCCAATGAGAAGAGAAAAGAGTACTATAAATCACCAAGTTTTCTGTAAACATATAGTAACTATTTCACCTACATGGATATTAACATCACCTAATCCAAACATATTGCAAAAATAGTGAAACTTTTGGTGTAACATCGACTTAACTCCACTAAGAGTTCCCATTCCAATCAAGTGTTTAACACTGAAAGAGAAACCCCTCCAAACTGGCAACAAACGATCAAACTTCCAGACAATGTCATTTTGTGCCACAGAACTGTCTTTTTGAAGATTTTGCAAGTAGCCCAACATGTGTTTCAATAGCTACGAAAACCCACATAAGTTAACATGTTTGTTTTAAGGATGAAGTTTGATTAGAGTAGAAAGAACTCAAAGCCAATGAAGCTTGGTACCTGCTGTAACGGAACTATCCCGTTGATATGACATCAGGGGTGTACCCTTCACTACATACAGAAGACTAACAGAGCAAAACCTTTTGCTGGTTTCTGACATCCAAGCATAAATCCTTTTTTGGTTTCTGTACAAAAAGAATAACCATAAATTTGGCTTCTCATGAACGATAATGATAGATCCATGGCAAAATATCAAGGATGAAGCTTGAATGGAACTTACATTGGCACATGATGAAGCTTGAATGAAACTTACATTGGCATTTGGATGATGCATTATCAATGGAACCTCTCCGAGTGGGAAGCGTGAAACCAAATTGTGAGAAATCTGAGCAGCCACCTCGGCTGTTTGGAGTAGATCAATTTCAGAGAGTTTGGAATTAATCGATTTAGAGAATTTGCAATTTGTGAAACACAAACAAGCAAACCAAATCGAACAAGTAGCAAATTAATTAGCAATCTATGAACTTGAGCAAGTGAGAAATGAAATGGACAAATTGTGCAAAGAAAATTAGCAATCTGTCTAATGGTCTGTTCATCTACAACATCTTTATCTTTAGTGCTTTAGAATAAAATGCTAGAATGCTATATAACAAAAGAAGAAACTTTTTCCTGGGCATCAAAGCAGGAAAGCCTGAGCTCTAGTGGCAATTCAAATTTTCAAACTAAGCAAGAGAAGACATATGTTTGAGTCATTTTGAGAGAATTTAACTTGTTCAAAGAACATACACAAACAATGTCTTCACAGAACATATATAAAATGCTCACCCACTACTCAAGTCAAAACATACCCTGCAACAACAAATTTGAGTGTGAGTATGTGCATATCATAAGAAAGAAAATAGAACGGGAGAAAAACATGAAAAAGTAGACATTTACTCCCCCAAAAGAACACCCTCTCTTTTATTAGAACAAAGAGAGAAGTAGTTCACCATCTTTACCTGTCGAAGAGTACAAATCAAAAAAAATATCTAGCAATAAAAATTCAAACAAATCTGTTACAACTAACTCAAAACAGGAGCAAATAAAGATGAAGAACAAAAGAATGGAAACATCTGGAATTACCTAGAATCAGAAAGAGAGAAACAGCGGAGAAGGATACTCGATATATAGAGAGGGCGAAGGAATGAAGTCCAAGATTTAGGGTTTAACTCCTGGGAAGTAGATCGTCATCGAAAGAAGCAGAAGAAATCCGAGAGCTAGATGAGCAGGAATAGATTAGGAGGTCTGAACCAGACCTTGAACCATCTTATTTTGTATTGCTTTGGGTTAAAACTATGCAGAAGATAAATACATGTTTTAGGAACTTGTACAATGTGCTTTATGGTTTGTAAATTAAGAGATTTTCAAGATTTATGCATAAAAAGGTTGTACACAATGTATTGTGAGTGATACTTAATTCTCTCCTTCCTATAACTCTGTTCTTTTGCCTCGAAGTTTTAATGAAAGACATGCCTACAACAATTCTCATATTGAGCAGTTTATGCAACAAAGGAGGAACATTTTCATACAATCTTGAAGTACTTAATGGACAACAATGAAAATGTTAAATACAAATGCATCAAAATTTACATCTTCCTCCTGAAAAGAACAAACATATTATTTGCTATGAACTATGACTCCTACTTTCTAAGAAGTATATGGGTAATTACACATACCTTTTAAGTTCTTCGGGTGCTGCAAGACTATTGGCATCTATACAGGACACACAAGCATATAATACATCCTTATGCAGTCTCTGCCACGCGTGCTGATAATCTACTAATTTCATCCTTAGAGATGCGTGGTTCAAGCTCACGAAGCTTATTAATGAATAAAACTGCATCATCCCTACGATGGAACTTACAATACCAATCCACAATAGAGTTGTATGTGCTCTCATTAGGTTTACACCCTTGTTTAATCATGTACCTGACCACATCTATGGCCTCTTCAAACAATTCATCAGCAGCATAACTAGCAACGAAGGTGTTATATGTGATGACATCTGGATTAACACCAGATTTCCTCATTTCACTTAACACCCTTGATGCATCTTTCATCTTTCCATTTCTGCAATACGCATAAATCACAGTGTTGTAAGAGATAACATCTGGTTTGATTCCTTTCTCCATAAGATCCCTCAAGATTTCTTCAGATTTCGGGAAATCTGAGGATCGACTATGCATATACATCAGAGAATTGTATGTAGTCAAATTAGGAGAGAAACCACTTTCTTTCATGAAGTACACTATCTCACTGGCCTCCATTGACATCTGCCTCCTTCCATAGATTGCAACCATGGCATTGAGAGTATTTATGTCATGCGAAAACCCCCTTTCTCTCATTTCAAGAAAAGCTCGGTTTGTTTCCTTTAAAAGGTCGCTTTTGCTATTAACCAAAACAAGGGTCTTTAACAAGACAGCATGTGGTTCAATCTCACCAGAATATATCTTCTCTGCAAACGCACACATTCTGTCAATTTCCTTACCATTTGCATAAGCATGAAGTAAAGAACTATAAGTACACTCATTAGGTTTACAACGCTCGTCTTTCATTTCATCAAGAATCTTCTCAGATTGCTCCCAAAGACCTCCACGGGCTAATGCTGCTAAAACAGCATTGTACGTAGAAAGGTCCGGACTGACATTAGCTTCCAACATACTTCTATATACTGTCATGGCTTGATCTAAAGAGCCACATCTACTGTAAGCACCAATCAAAGTGTTGAATGTATCTCTCTCGGCAACAAAACCAGCCCTTTTCATCTCCTTAAAGACTCCAGAAACTTCACTATCCATTCCATTTTGGCCAAACACGGCCAAAAGCGTATTCCAAGTCACAATATCAGGAACACATCCACACTCCCTAATCTCTTCAACGACCTTCATCATCTCAGCAAACCTCCCTCGGTTACCATGCATCTTAATTAGAGCATTAAAGGTACAAATGTTTGGTTTGCAGCCTAAACTTATCATCTCTTCAAAAACCCTCATAGCAAACTCATCTTTCCCCACTTTCTCATATCCCGAAAACAGGGTTGTATAAGTAAAAACATCTGGTTTTATCCCTTTAGCCAACATTTCAGCTTTCAACTCCATTGCCTCATCAAATAACCCGTCTCTAGCATAACATGAGATTAATGAATTGTAAGTAACTATGCTAGGAGAAAACCCATTGCCCTCCATCTCCTTTAAAACATCCATTGCCTCTTTAGGCTTCCGAGACTTCACATATACATCCAACAACGTATTATAAGTAACATAATCGGGCATAAACCCTGTGAACTTCATCTCTTCAAAGATCCTCTTAGCCTCTTCATGCAAAGACCCACGCTTGCAGCAACTTATCAGAGTATTATACGTATAAGAATCAGGGACAACCCCTGAACTCTTCATACTCTCAAAGACAGATTCAATTTTATTCCAAGGCATACCCATTTTCCCATACACATTAAGAATCACATTATATGTAATCTTAGTAGGTTGACAACCTTCTTCTTCCATTTCCTTAAAAACCGCCACGGCCTCTCTAAACCTCCCATTACCAGCATAAGCACTTATCAATGAAGTGTAAGCATAAACATCAATAACAAAACCATCTTTTTGAAGACCACGTATCAAAGAAGATGCAGCTGAAGCCCTACCATCTTTACCAAGCATGGATATAATCACAGCCACAATAGAACCACGTAAAGCCTTCCGTGAATCTTTATAGTGTTTCTTAACCCAATCAAACACATTTAAAGCCAAATCAAATTTCTTGTAATGAACTAAACCTTGAACTAAACCCAATACATCCAAAGACAATGACTTTGAGGAGAATTCTGATTGATTTCCATGAAAACCAACCAAATTAAGCAAATTCTCGTCAATCTGAGAAGACTGGAAATCTGGATTAATAAGAGTTCGAAAGATTTGCTCACCTCGCGAAGATAGGTGAGAAGACCAGGGTTTTCCCTTGTTTGGATCATTGTGTTTGCCAATACGACGTGTTTTTCTGGGGATTATAGGAGAAAGGTGTCTTGGGGGTTGTGTGGTGGCTGAATTTGGTTGCAGAAGGTCATTTAGAAGGGGGGTTAATGGCTGTGGTCGCTGGTGGTGGGTTTTTTTATTGTGGAAGTCTTGAGAGAAAAAGGGTTTAGTGTGTGGAGGACTTGGGATGAGAAGAGGAAGAGCTAGCTTATCAGCCATTGATGAGCAGGAGGTGCAGGGGCGGAGCTAGGAATTTAGGATAGAAGGGGGCCGGTTGTCTAGGGTCATAGTTTGTTGCAAAATAATAACGATAAATATTGTACCTGAACAACAACAAAGAAAGAATCAATAATACATTGATATATAAGAGAGCTTCAGTGACTGAGCTAAAAACTGAAAATACCAATGTAGACTTCGAATGTGAAAGATATAGAGTTTGACATCAACTTTTCAAAATCAAAAGTTGATTCTAGTCCAATCTATCAACTTATATATAGCAATCATCATAAAGATCATCCTAGTATCCCATTTGAATCTACCATATCTAACTGAATAAGATTTCTCGTAGATATAAAATATTTAAGAAAATAGTAGCAAAGGTCTTGTACAGAAGTTTTTCATAGGTTGGTCAACGCAATAGTCTATACATCAAGAACAATGATTTTATGTTGGATTACAACTTTTTCTTGTTTCAATCTCCTCTAAAACAGAAGAAAGTCATGTGAATTAAAGAAATAAAGATAAAGATAAAGATTAAGCTTAAATACCAATGGCAGGGGGTGTAAAGGGTACTAGAAGAGTTGGATTGGATCTAGAGGAACTAGTAATGTGAATATGAGGAGTAAAAACAAAATCTTTTCAACTTGAATTCCTACTTCAAGCTCTTAAAAGTCAAGTATTTACAATATCCCAAATAGGTGTGTTCAAAAAAATCTTGTACTTCTCAAACCGGTCTTACTAAGTCAAACGCACCGTTTTTGGTGGTTTAAGCAATCTGGCGATCGGTCCGGTCTGAAAAATAGACAAACCACTCGGTCTGGTTCAGTTTGCGGTTTGAATATTTTTTTGAGGGTTTGAACCGAACCAACCTCCAAAATACAAATGTACTGATTATATTTAGTTTTAATGTTATAGGCTAAACTTTTATGGTCCAACTAGAAATAGTCCGTCCAAGACATAAAGTTTTTAGTTTTCCCTTCTCAATTGTCTGCGTTCCCTAAATCAACAATTCAAAATCCGTCAAAAATCAAAATCCAAAATTCCAAATTGTTTTTCGACTTGCTCAATATTCGTCCAATATTCCAATTTTGTTGATGAACTTGTTTAACATTTTTTCACCTGCTCAATGTTTTTTTAGTTTTGGAGATAAATGTTTCTTTTATAATTCGATATAGATTTTTTAATAATGTTATATTGGTAGAAATTTCATTTTTGGAGATAGATGATATATTCTTTTTAGTTTAAATCCCATAATAGCCCCAAACCGTCTAAGCTAGTCAGAACAGACTGTCTTTTTGCAGTGCGGTTTGACCGGTTTGGTCACTTGCTGCAAAAACCGTCCAGGTTGGAAATTTTTCTAAATCGCCGGGTTTGGAAAATTATCTAAGCCGACATTGTGGTTTGGTATGTAGTTTGAGGGGTTAAACCACCCAAACCGGACCACAAACATCCGTAATCCCACATCAAATCATTCAACAAAACTAGGGTTTGGGTAATTGGGTTTCTTTTTGGACAAGTAAACAACATTAATACACTCCATTTTTTCTAACTTTTTAATCTAATTTTTTTTTCAAAATTTGATAGATAGGCTACCAAGGAAAAATAACCTGAAGAAAGAATTCAAATCAAATTGCTATTATTTGAATTCAAACATGTATATATACAAATATACAATAATCGTGGTATGTGTATGTATAGCAGTATAGGCACCTGTAGAGAGGGAGGGGGAGAGAGAGAGAAGGCTGAATACCTCTGCGGGTTGGGCCGGTGAGAAGCGCCAGGGCAGCCAAGGGCGAGCAGGGAGCGGCGACTAGGGGCAGGAAACTCGAGGGAGTTGAGATTTCTTTGTCCAAACTGCACAAAAAATTCAATAGATTAAAGTGAAATATATCGGATAACTCTATACAAATATCAACTTAGGGTTCTTTAGTAAATGATGAATGATAGTAAATGATGAATGATTAAGGGGTTTTTTGGGATTGTTTATTTAAAACATCTTATGTTTTTTTTGTTAAAAGTGGTTATTAATTTATGTGATATCAAACCGAAGTTAAATAAAATGAGGTTAAAATTGTAAACTGGTAATAAGCAGTTTTTCATAAGTCATGAAAGATTAATTTATCAAAAACATTTTATTACCGATTTGACATTAGTATAAGCAGTTTTTTTTTCCTTATCCAAACATCAGAAAACAGTTTATCACCGATGTCAGACTGAAATAAATTAAAAACAGTATTTATAAGCAATTCCAAACACCCCCTAAAACAATGATTTAGTAAAGAATGAAAAATAGTTGTTTGGTAAGTGTTTGAAAAAACGTGAATGTTAAAAAATACCACTTCAACCTATAATTTAGAATGAAATATGACTTTTTGATTAATTATCTAAATTAATGAATTACCTGCATAATTATAACTTTACATATGTGAATCACAAAAAAATAGAAGATAGTGTATATCACGATGTAAATATAAATCAACCACAATATTACCTATTCAAAAAAACATATATATCAACAGGGACGTTCCAATCTTTTTGGAGGTTCTGCTACATCCAAAACTTTTGATTACATTGCATAAAAGTGATAACAGAGAATATATGTTAAGAACAAAAATGGGCTAAATCTAAAATGATTAAGAATCTGAAACTAAACTTAAACCATTAATGATTTGAACCTAAAACCAAACAATTAATAGTTTGAACCTAAATAATTTCGGCTATAGTTTTACATAGGTCGATAAAAGACCCTAAACACATGTAAATTTGGACCCCAAAATTTCGGGGGCCCTGTTCAAAATCTCACATTTAACATGTTAAGAGACGGCCTTGTATATCAATCTAAATATGTAAAGTGAATGTTTTCAGAGTGGTATATCGTTAAACATGTGGAGTGAGTGTATTCTAACTACCACCTATCTTATAAATAGAACATTCTCTTCTGTTTTAAAAGGAAAGTGTCCTTATGAACTGGTATATGGTTTCCAACCTGTCTTAACTCATCTAAGAAATTTGGGTGTCTTTGTTTTGCTACTAAAACAAATGTAACTGATAAATTTTCCTCTAGAATTGAAAAATATGTTCTTTTAGGATATGCAAATTCCCAAAAGGGATACAAATTGTTTAGTCCTTATACTAATAAGATAGGTGTTTCTCAGATGTAAGATTTTATGAAAATATATTTCCATTCAAGATGAGTTTAAATAAGTTGGATTATTATACTACTAGTGAAATAAGTTTCTTAAACTTTTTTTATTCCACTTTTGATTCCTCTATTAATCCATTTGGTTCCCTTCCCCATGATGAGGTTTGAGATCAACCTCCTCAGGAGAAAAGTAATCAGCGTTCATTTTTTGGTAGTAGCCCATGTAAAGTTGCCAGTAGGTAGCAACTAGGTAGCATAAATACTCTACAATCTGTTAACTCCGAAGGAGCTGCCAGTTTGCAACCACTAGGTAACACAGAGGTAGCTTCCAGTTTGCTACCACTAGGTGATCTGAGCCTGGTATGTAATCCTTGGATACTTACCAAGGTCTCGAAAATGCTGAAAATTCTGGTCTCCCACCCTGAGGGTCCTTTCACTAATGATAATAACCAAGGGACAACTAGATCTGTTAGAAAAATGACTAGAGCTTCACATTTCCCTCATAAATTTGATGACTTTGTTATAGAAGGGAAGGTAAACTATGGGTTAGAAAGAGTTGTGAATTACTCATATTTGAATTTGGAAAACCTCTGTTTTACATCAAGTTTAAATATATCCAATGAACCAAAAACTTTTTTCAGAAGTTTGTAATGATATGGATAATGGCAATGAATAATGAAATGGAAGCTCTTTATAGAAATGGGACTTGGTCGTTACTGATTTACCTGTAAGAAGAAAACCTATAGGATGTAACTGGATTTATGAAATCAAATATAAGTCCTCTGGAGAAATAGAAAGGTATAAAGCTCGTCTTGTTGCCAAAGGGTACAGTCAAAGAGGATGTCTTGATTATGAAGAACATTTTCTCTTGTTATGAAAATAGTCACTGTTAGATGTATTATAGCTCTTGTTATTCAAAACAGTTGGCCTTTATTCCATCTAGATGTTAATAATGCATTCTTGTATGGTGATTTGTCTGAGGATGTTTATATGACTATACCAGAAAGTTATTTTAATTCTGATGATAAAAGAGTTTGTAAACTAGTAAAGTCTCTTTACGGTTTAAAGCAAGCTCCTCGTCAGTGGTATGCAAAATTGCCATCTTGTCTTATTGCTAATGGTTTCTCTCAAGGTATAAATGACTATTCTCTTTTTACCAAATACAGTGAATCTGATTTTGTTATCCTTTTGGTATATATTGATGATATTGTTTTAACTAGGGACAATTTGTTGGTAGTAAATAAAGTTAAAACTTATTTAAAAGGTAATTTTCTTATAAGGATCTTGGCAAGCTAAAAAATTTCTTAGGAATTGAAGTTCTTGATTTTGATAATGGTATTTCTATGTCTCAAAGAAAATATTGTTTATAATTGTTAAATGACTTTGAATATCTTGGATGCAATCCTGTTAATACACCTATGGATATGAATCTTAGTGTTACTGATTTTGTTGGAACTGTTTCTAATGATCCCCTTTTACATGATTATACTGGATATCAAAAGTTAATTGATAGGTTAATATATCTTCTTGCAACTAGACATGACATTGCTTTTGTAGTTCATTGTTTAACTCAAATATGCATTCACCTCGTCAATCCCATCTTAAATTGGCATTAAGGGTGCTTAGGTACTTGAAATTTCCACCAGGAAAGGGTGTCAGTTTTACAAAGTCAGAATCTTTCCTCTTAACTACTTTTGTTGGTGCTGACTAGGGTAAGCGTCTCTCTTCTAGACGGTCTGTTACTGGTTACTATTTATTTCTAGGAAATTCAATGATTTCTTAGAAAAGTAAGAAACATAACACAGTTTCTCATTCTTCTACTGAATCTGAGTATAGAGGAGTGACTTCTGCCTGTGAAATAATTTGGGTACTTAAGATTTTGATAGATTTAAGAATTAAGGATTTACTTCTAGTAAATCTATATTGTGATAACAAATCTGCTATAGATGTTGCTTATAATCCTGTTTTTCATGAGCGTACTAAACATATAGAAATTGATGTCCATCAAGTTTGAGAAAAAGTTAATTACGATATGTTAAAAGTTCAAAAAATCTTTACTATTGAGCAACCTGCTGATATTTTTACTAAATCTCTTGGTATAAGTCAACACAATTACTTGTGTTTAAAATTAAAGTTAATTGACTTGTTTAAATGCCAAGATTGAGGGTGGGGGTGTTAAATTAGGCTGTGATTTTATCCAATCTTGCCATTTATTAGTTTTGGTGTTATATTTCAGGTTATTGTTTTAAAAAGGTTGTTTCTCTAAAGGTGATAATCAAGAAGGATTGCTTGTAGCTGGTGTGTTTTTAGAAGGGTAGCAGAACAATTATGCTTATATTTGAAGGGGTCAAATTGAAACTTTTTATAACATTCATCTTCCTAATATGCCTTAACTATATGCTTAAATGTGTTTTACAGGTTTATTTGAAGCTTAAGTATGATGCTAGTATGAGATAGATGGCTAAAATGTGATCTAAAGGTTGGAATGTGAAGCAAAGGTTGGAATACTCTTAGATATGTTTAAGTAAGATGTTGGGGGTGGTTAGATGATAAGAAAATAAAGTACGTTGCGTTTTGGCTAAGTGTGTGTTGAAAATATCACTTTTTCGATATGGTTTTGAGCATTGGGTTCGAACGAAAGACTTTTATGGAATTGGAAGGTTTGGAACTAAGTTTAGAATCATTTTGAAGGTATTAGAAGTGTTGTAGAATTTTTTTACGCGATTCTGATCAAAAAGTCAAACATTGGAAAAGGAAAGTTAACGTCTAAGTTACAAATAAGTAAAACTACTTTTATTGGAAAATATTTTCTGGAATATTTTTTTGGAAGTTGTAGGTTATCTCGTTAAGAACGCGTAGGGGAAAACCTCATCGAAAACGGAGATCCAAGAGAAAAGTTGTGCAAGTTTTAGTGTTTAGTGATCATAATGGGTACCAAACCGGGTCAAACTCAACCCAACTCGGGATTAAGTCGTGAAAAACACAAAGTATCCCCGTTTTACCCCACATTTCATCCAAAGTCAGTTCTTGGTGTTCTAAGGTGTGAATACACACACTTGGGAGCTAATCTAACCCTAAATCAAGTGATTTAACAAGATTCTTGAAGGATTTGTGGAGAAATCAAAGGTAAAACTCATCTCCTAGCCTTGTTTTTTATGTTGTGCATAATTGATTAGTTTTGAGTCCATGCATGTGATGGTTTAGTATTAAATCATAAAATTATGTTAAGATTAAGTGTTATTATTAGTTAATATGTGAAATCCATGGATGAATTGTAAGATTTCTTGAAAAGTATGATGTTAACTCAAGAATATGTGTTGACTTTTAGGAGTCAAAATGAAATATGATGAAATTGGTAGAAAACTGATGTTATAATCATGGTTTATGATTTATTTATTATGGAATATGGTAAAAATAAGTGAAACTATGAATTTGGATTTGATTGGACTAGTATTGGTCATGTTTTGAATGAAAAATTGATGTTTTGAGCATATCGCAACATGGTTATAGCCCTGTCTTTGAAAAATCATAGAAATTCGTAGAAAATTCCTAAAATTATGAATAATTAGGCCCTGAAAAGGTAAGAGAAAGGGCTACAACTCTTCTAGATGTGAAATGGTGATTTTGAGTTTTAAAGGGTCAAAGCAGGTCTGCAAGTTAAGTGTTTATAATAGAATTCAAAG